GATAATAAAGTATAGCCAAGTTATAACCTTTTGGTTCCAACATGTGCGTGGCGTTGGACCAAGACCACCCAAACTTATGGAACATGTCTGGTCCTCAACTTGTTTTTTTCTCTTAAAGCCAATGCAGGAAGAGGCTGAGTCACCCAAACTTATGAAACATGCTGAAACCTCCTCGTTCAGAACAAAAAAAAAATGAAAGAAACCCAAAGTAAATAAGGCGACCAGACCACCCAAAATTATGGAACATGCTTGGTCCCTGAAAAGTCAATCACAGTCAGCCCTCACAAGTCAGAGCAACCAGACCACCCAAACTTATGGAACATGTTTGGTTCTCCAGGCAATTCAAAATAAACATAGCACTGGGCCTCCCCAAACTTATGGAGACTTGCCCAGCCTTTGATAGACCCAGTCAAACAAGCAATATTGTTTATCTCCCATCCTTCCCCCAGATGCAATCCCATAATCTGCCTTTAGTCAAACAATGAAAATGAAACTGACATTACGCATACATTCCTTTACTTAGTCTGATTCGTGTCCTGAAAGTCAAACTGAAAGTCAAAGTAGGGATGCAGGCAATATACTAAGTCAACCATAGCAAGAAATACAGGTAAGGGTTATAACTGGGTTTATAGAGGGAAAGCAATGATTACCTTTCAATTCCCTGCCTCTAAAACTCCTCCTTAGTTCCGGCAGAGCTCCCCTAATCGGTGGGTTGACTCTCCACAGAGTCTTGCTGCGGTCCTACGAGTTGCAATCCCCCCTGCCGCCTTCCTCTCAGAACAGGACCAGACTTCGAGTAAGAAGGGCAGAAGGAGGGGTTTGAGACTCTCGAGATACAGGAGAGGTGCTCTCAGACTTACGCGAGAGGGCCTTGGTTCCTTGATTCGCCTGAGGGCGTTGCAATGATGGAAAAAAATTACAAAACGATTTGGTCGACTGTAGCCAAACCGTCGAAATCAATCCTCGGACGACCTCCCAAATCGCAGCACCAAGCCGTTGACAACCCTTCACGTTCGCTCTAGCAACCCCTCGGTAGATGTGCAACGTATTGGCCAACAAGCGGGCCTCCAAACTCTGTTGTTTGCTCACTGTCACTCCGCTTAAGATTTTGCACAACACTTCTCATCATCCCACAGACAATTCATACTGTTCCCGGATGGCTGCTGCTGTTTTTCTTGTCGAAGTGGACACTGTCTCGACTTGCGAGTAAGTCCTCTAACCCTGTAGCTTGCTTCCCTGTTGTCTGAGCTGCTGAGACGAGCGGCGCACCTGTCTACAGGTAAGCCTCCAACCCCCTTAGCCTTCTCGTTCACCCTTCTCATAGCCTTTAAGGTAAATTTATACCCTCACGGCCCTTTTACGCTACTCTCACCGTTGGGATGAGCAAAATTGTGTGAATCTTCTGCTGGAAAACGCAGAGCTATACAACGCCCGCTTCAAACCCGTTCCTCCCGTGCGCAACCTTTACACCTTGCGTCAGCAAGCTCACTGCCCCGTCTCCAAATACGCCTTTACCATTGTACTAATCTATTCTCCCTATCTATCACTCCATCGTCCTCCTTACCTCCCATGCACCCGGCTGACCTCTCGACTAAGTTCGCGCAACTCTAACGGCTCAACGGAGACGAGCAGGCTACAGGCAGGGGAAAAACCTTCAACAGAACGGTGAAGAGCAGAAGGCACGGCGAGCGACCACATGATCTAGAAGGCGGGCATATACAACAACACCATCTAACAGCGCAAGAGGGGATTACGAACAACGTCACGGTGCAGCTGCCTGGTCCGAGATACGTAGACCACGATCGTGGAAACGAATGACACGAACCGTCCTTGATAAGTGTCGAGCCCATGGACCACCGGGATGGAGACGACACCCACGTTTGGTGAAGGAGGCGACCAACTCCAGTCCCTTTATGGCGGTCAGCACAGCCCGCCATCCCGCATCCTATGATATAACAATTGAAAATGAATCTTCCACTAAACATGGAAGGATTCACTACCTTCGTTCGCTTAACCCCTCTCTTTTCGTGCAACTTCTCTTCTTTATAGCACAAAAACTAACTCTCCTTTCCCAAATCTGACTCCTCCGTTTGATTCGTAGCACTTCAAAAACCCTGTTTACCATGTCATTTCGCCCGATTTCGCCCAGAATCGGGTGAAATCTCAGTTTTCCGTTTTCACCATACTCCTTCGTTGCTCCGCCATCGCTATACTCCTCGCACTACTTTCTCCACTAACCTCCCAATATGCTAATTTATCACCAAAACTAACCTCATTGTCAAGTTCGCTCGGCCCCAAAACAACAGAAACAAGTCTCAAATCGTTCGTTTTCGTCAATGAACGAACGAGATCAGTGGTTTTCCGATCCTACCATTCTCGCTCCCTCCATCTCCAGTCTTTGGCTGTATCCGGTGCGAAAACCTGTCCCTGTTCCTCCTTCTCTCACAGCCCCAGATCCCCGTCTCCTTTTGCGCGTTCCACTACAACCGCCTCCGACCGCAACTAAATTCGCAGCGTCGGACTTCAACCGATAGCGAACACAGAAGGAGGGAAAAAAAAAAAACAGATTAGTCGTACCCCCTTTCCATTTATATGTGTCATCCTCGTACAGGGGCCATGCTAATCTCCTCTCCATCATTCTGATTTTAACAGATGTCATGAAGGACAGTTCGGCAGTCCCGCAATCAGGACTGTACAAGACCAGATTCGAAACCGGGCCTGTGTCTCGGCCTCACACAGGTATACTGGCTGCCCTAGGCCGGTTGGTGCAGATGCCGACACCAACTCAGGCCCCGGGCATAGTTACCACCACCTCTGGCCCCTAACAGGCCGACTTTCATACTAACAATTAGTCGGGGAGCCGGGGGACACGGACCTGTTACAAAGTCTAAGTGTGGGCCTAGGTGAAGTGGCTCCGCTGCAGATCTTGGTAGTAGTAGCAATTATTTGAATGAGAGCTTTGGAGGACCGAGGCGGGGGAAACCATTACCACCGACCCCACCAATCTCAGTAGCATTGACCTTCTCAGTCTTTCGGCGTCGCGGCTGACTCAGAGTATAATACCCCAAAAATAAAAATAATCATAAAACAATAGAATCCATAACGCAAGGGGTACTAAAGACACCACCTCGGCTTTGCGGTGACAAAACCAAGGGGGGACAGCCACACAACCCCCCCAACCACGCAATTCCTTTGCGACGCTCCCATACTATCGCGTGCTAGTCTCGATCCCTGAACCTCTTTGATGAAAGTCTGACGCCGTAACCAGTAATGCTAAGCCTAAGGCTAGGTCGAACCCTGACGGACAACTAAATAAACCGATATTACGCGACGCGCATGCCTACCGAAACACTTTCAGAATCACATTGTTGTCGACGTCGCCCTCCGCACGTACGCACAAGCCACATGCAATCGCAATCGGTCAACGAAACATACTCTTTTTAATCCCAGTCTAATCAAAAATAAAAATTTGGCTAGCGACCGCGCCGGCTCTTCAATCGTCAATAAATAAAATCACGCGTGCCTCAAACCTGCGCGCCCACACACTCTCTGCTCTAGTCAACCATCCAATCAACGTAAACCACAGACGCGGCCGCGCCTCGCTCGGTATACTCAAACTTTAAACTAACCTATCTATCACCTACAAAAACCAGGGTGGATACCCTTGTAAGGGTATTCGCACCGACGCGGTAATACTATAATGATAATAAAAAAGCCCTGAAAGGCCGTCCTGTCCAGATTGGACAGGTAATTGAATTGGCTGGGCCACTAGTACCTTTGGCGCGTGAGAAAATAGCGGGCCTCCGGTGGGCCACCGACCTTTTCGGAGGCCGAAATGAAACGACGGACGCCGATCAGATTTATCAATGGCAGTCGTCGTTGGGCCCGGCCTCCGAATCTCTAGGAGTTTGGGAAAACAGCCAGTTTTCCCTATTTTCCCACGCGGGAAAGGTACTAGTGGTTAGAATGAGCCTTATTTAAGTAAAATAAAAATACAACAGGGTAAAGGGCTGCCTCCTGGCTGCATACCTGGTCCTCTCCCTAAGGCTGAAAGGGGTCACTGACCGATGGCGACCCTGTCGGAGGGTAGGCCTGGTATGTCATTTGCTGATGTTATGAAAGCACGAATATAGGGGTTCGCTCCACTAGTCTCGACACATGTGCAAAACGAGCGTGAATCTTCCGGTAGAACATGGAAATCCGGTAGAACATGGAAAGAGACACCGCCTTTATTTTTGTCTTTTGTGCATGTCGAGATTATTGGAGCGAGGCTCATAGTATAGTAGACTTTTGTGCATGTCGAGAGTATTGGAGCGAGGCTCATAGTATAGTAGACTTTTGTGCATGTCGAGAGTAGTGGAGCGAGGCTCATAGTATAGTATAGCACCACCAGTGGCGCCTAACTCTAATGCAACATGCAACCTACTCACGGTTGATTAGGCGTGTGTAGGGTGACAAAGACGATGCCGCAAACTGCTCTTGGGTAATCAATCGCAGATGCGAAGGCCATCTAACTTCGCTCCTCAAATTTGCTGAAAAAAAAAAAAAAAAAAAAAAACTTCGCTGCTTAGCACACAGTCCCGGCTGGCAGTGCGGCTACCGGTAGCCACGACAAGCCTGCCACCTTGTAGTATAGTATACCTACCTATCGCAATTGCACACACTGGCGGGCCTCAATGCGAATGCGAAGAGCCTTGATTGGTCCCCGTTCCATGTGGCTATCCTTGAATCGACCGCCCGGCGCCTTCCGGCAAGGTTGTCCGGCCTCTAGAGGTCGGCCTCGCGGGCTCCGACCGCCGTCATCTCGAACCTGGCCTCAATCTGGGCCACGTTCTGGGCTTGTCTGTCGCTACGTACCGGTACCTGCATCGAGAACTCAAGGCGGAGGCGGAGTATTCGCCGACGAAGCACCCAAGGCCAATCAGTAACGCCCTGGAGCCTCGATGGCCGGCTCGACACGTTGCGATTTGATGTGATCTGATCGGACGGCTTCGAAGCGACGTAAGCTGTAGAGAGCAGTTGGGGAAGGAGAGGAAGGGGGGGGGTTGTGAACGTGGGGAGGCCAGGACCACCATCGCCACACACGAGCACATTTCGCAAACAGGTTGAATCTCGTGCACTCTCAGTTCGATTCTGAGGGTGAGCGGAAGAGCGGGAAAGAGTCCTCCCTCGCCGGGCATGAGTGGGGCTTCCCGCTTCCTGCTCAGGGAGGGGTCATTGTCGCCCCCCCCAGCCAGTTTGGAGGAGAAAGGCTGGCGAATCCCTCCCCTACATCTCCTCTCCCTCTCCCTCCCCTACATCTCTTCTCCCTCTCCGTCTCCGTCTCCGTCTCGTTACGACTCCACAACTCTTGCACACGACGCTGTTGTTGTTGTCGTCGGCCGTATGTAGATGGCGTCCACGCCACATTCATTGACGTTCAGAATGTGTAAGCGGTAATCGGAGGAGGAAGAAGAAGGAGCTTTTCGAGAGGCAGTTGGCTCTATCACCGTCGGGACAGGAGGCAGGAGGTGAGCCTCTTTCGGCGGCATTCGTTCGAGTCTGAGCGTAACCTGTTCAAGAGGGTGGCATCAAGGTCGTTGATGCACACCCCCTCCTTTCTCCCCCCTCCCCCCTCTATCGGTCAAAGTGCGAGGTAGAGGTTCCTAAATGCGGGAGGGTTGAGTGCGCTTTTGAGGTCACTCGTGGTCCCTTCAAGCTGCCATTCCTTTCCCACAAACCACCTCCTCCCAGACTCTCTTTACTGATCGCTGCGAACACTCTGTGTCTGTGCGTAGAAAAAGAACAGGGAGAGAGAGAGAGAGAGAGAGAGAGAGAGAGAGAGAGAGAGAGAGAGAGAGAGAGAGAGAGAGAGAGAGAGAGAGAGAGAGTTTGGTAGG